AAGCTTCACAGACAAGGCGGCAGCGGCAGCCAAAAGCGAAATCATGAAGGGAGACAAGCTTGGGAGACAAGGCGGCAGCGGCAGTGGCAGCCAATTTCCGCAATCAGGAACCCATCCATTGAGAAGTAAGAACCCCTATAGCTTCGCTATCTGGGGAACAAGTAGAAATAAATTAGAAACACTGAGTCTCTCTTGTAGAGCTATTGGTTCAAGCGTTCTACCTTGCTGGCACAACTTTCATAAGAATCCAATTTCTCAACTTAAACGGCGGGTTTGATTGTTCAGCCCTGCGCCACCGCCTGAAGAACACTGGGAGTTCATGATTTGATCCCGGCTATAACCACCCCAATGATGCATCATTCGGTTGGCAGCAATGCCGGCCAGCAAGCCGGCACCTCCAGCCAAAGCGATCTTCATGCCACTGCCGCTGCTACCTTGATAAGCATTTGCTCCAGAATAGCCATATGGTGTGGTCATTGGCATGTGGCCGCCGTAGTTCTGATAAGCATAGTTCTGGTTCACGTAGCCATATTGCCCAAAGTTTGGATGAGCGGGGTTGCTGAAACCCTGGCTAGTAAAGGTGCTCCGGCGGCGAGAGGAGGAGAACGAGGGACTCCTTCTCCGAAAGGCATCGGTGATGACCGGTGTCATGCGTCTGCGAGACTCATCCACCGTGCTCCGCCTCCTGTCCGAGAGGGTGGCGGCACGTCGCCTGGGTGAGGACGTGACACTGGTGCGTCTCCTGGAATCCGTGTAGGATCGCCTCCTGGATGAAGAAGATGAGGACCAAGATGAGCGTCGACGGCTCGAGAGCCTTCGAGGTTTCGACAAGAATTCCTGGCTTTCCACGGTGCCCTTGGCCATTGATCCCTTGCTTTTTCTTGTGGGCATGGTCCCATTGGCAAGTCTTCTGCCATATTGACCTGGGCTCACAGGCTGCAGGTTTATTCCTGCTGACTGGTCAGCAATCGTTCGACCAGCCGATCCACGAGCCATAAAACTAATCGTCATCGCATTGTTGGTCGTGCGGAAAATCGTGAAGACATGGGGCGCATTGTCTGCGCCTGCCGGCTTCTGGATCACAAACTCGGCAAATCCTAAGGCAGGAGAAACCGATTGCCTAAAAAACGGGTGCAAATTGACAGGTCGATTGAAATGACCTTGCCCCCTAGTTCTCACAAGCAAGGCTGTATATAAACTGTACACATACCAATTCATGCAAGTTCCACGATGAGCTTGGCCAAGTATATATAGTCCTTCCTAGCCGGTCCTAGCCCGTACTCTTCGTGTAGCATGATTGCTCCTTTGCAGCTGAGATTCCTGGACCTCCTGGACACAGAATTGCAGGCAGGTCAACATAGTGCCACACTCCAGAGAAGCCAGGGCCGCTTTGGGATGAGGAAAATGCAAAAAAACCTTGAGGGACAACGTTCAATGCAGGTTCCCATTCCTCTAACCTCCCCCTCTCTCTTCAATCTCTTCAAGAGCAATTGGGCACTTGCAAGATTTGCAAACACAATTCTGACATTCTTACTTTACTTGACAAGCAGAAACCAAAAGGAAATTCAAAACCTTCCAAGCAAAACAGTGCGGGGGGGAGCGGCCAGCAAAAAGGGTAGCCAAGAACAGGACCATGGCGAGCAAATGTGAAAACGTGCACTGCTTCAAGTGACAGGACTTTGAGGCTCAAACATGCGCGACCTTTGCACCTTCTTCTCTTCTTCTCAAGCTGGTATGAGAGTTTTTATCGTACACTGCTTGCGGCTTCAAGGACCAGCCACATGGCTTGGGCCTGAATTGCAGCCACACACCTACAGTGAGGCTCACATCGGAGTCTGTCATGGTTGAATGATTGGTGTGGCACTGGAGTCGCAGTTGCCTTTTAAACTGCCGGCACTTCGGCCAGCACCCTGATTCGGCTTTGGACATCAAGCTGGTCAGCTTAATTTATCAAGCATCCTTAGCCGCCTTAGCCAGGTGCCCCCACTGCAGGCCTTCACTCCAAAGCTCCCATCAAATCAGAAATCAACTTTAGAGCTACATGGAGGGCAGGTAGAATCTCTTCTTGTAAGAAATCGTGAATCAAAGAGTAGGCTCACTGATCAAAAAGTTTGCACAAATGGATTGACTCTCACGGTCACCAATCATATCCACGTTCACCTCCAATGAGGATCGTTGATGACCTCCCGGGTGCCATCGAGACATGTAGAAACTTCATAAGTCTTAGTCTTAGCATGTCTTGGCTAGTACTGGCTGCAATGGATCTGCCATGGCCTGTCCCTGCACAACCTCTCCATGATGACCATGACAATGGCCAGCATCCTGTTTTTCGAGGTAGGACTCTCTTTGAGCGGCAAAATGTCACAAAGCAAGAAAGTTCAACTCCGCTTGATGGCCAAGCGGTCCGCTCATTCAATTCAGAAGGGTTCAATATGCTTACAACTTCTTGCCAAACGAAACGCATCATGTAATGTGGACTTCTTCGAATAGACTAGACTTCATCTCCCATCCTGACCGTGCCAGTAGGGGTTGGGAGCACCAGGCATCCCTGGCGCGCCAGGAAGTGGACCGTCCTCAATTCCGTTGTGATCAGACATCCATAGACATCCCCTTCGATGCTATCCACTGTTATCGTATTTCTTTTCGTGTCCTGTTTATTTCTCCATTCATGCTCAAGTGCAGCTTTGTAACATAAACGCCCATGGGGTGAGGGTGCTCGATGCCCTTGCGGCATCGATCGAGGAAGTAGCAGCAGGTGAGGCAGGAACATAAGAGCAACAAGTTGGAAAGAACCTCAAAACGCAATCAGAACGTTTTCGGTGCCTCAATGAACGGGAAAAAACACTGAAGACGTTTCTCGGGGTGGATGTATGATTGCTCCCCGTACGAAGACGTGCGAGGCACCATCAGCACGGCATCCGCACTTGTTGTGCTTGGCACTCAGTGTATATGTAATAATATGTAATAATGTAACATGACGAATAACGGTCCTTCCTTCATCACATTCTGCACTGGTCGACATAACCCGAAACAGCGCTTTTTGAACTATTCGTCCAAGTCGCTGAAGACCCTGTGCTGTAGCCGGAGCTGCCATAGCTGCCTGGACCATAGCCGTAGCCATGGCTATTGCCAAGCATGTCAGGACTTCGTCCAGGAAGCGCGGAAAGTGTGAAGAAGACCTGCTTCATTGGAGGCGCTTTCCACGCCTAGGATGATCTGTGGGAAGAAAACATACGAACACGACATTTGGAGCAGTCAACCACTCAATCTGAGGCCTGAGGTGTCTCCTCGCCCTCACACCCTTGCGTGCATAAGTTGAGGTGATGTTTGCGCAAGTTGATGTGTGCAACTTTGCCACACATTGCTACACTCTTTGCAAAGCCACACTCAGGCACCCCGCTCTCCGATCCAAATCCAAGCTGCAGCTTGCTGAGCAGCATCTTGAGGCGGGCATATGGTAGATGGGTCAAAGTCTGTTCCAGAGATATGGGTCACATTGATTACCAAAGGCCATGAGACTTGTGATGGGATAAAACCTGTGGACATGAGATCATCCCGAGCAGCATCAAAGTTGGGCGAGACCATCACGTTGCATCTCTGGGCCCCGTAGCTCGAAACACAGGAACGGCAGGCCCCGCTCCAAGTTCCTGGCAGGGTCGGAAGAGGTGAAGCTGCCACAGGAGGCATTTGAGGCAAATACAAAGAGGATATACCAAAGGGACTACCAAAGGCCTTAAGAGTCGGGAACGAAACCTACCGCCTACACATCATTCACAGTTCTTTAAACTTTAAACCCAGTAAATCCCAGTAATAGTATCTGTCTTTGAGCTGTCGTACACGTTTTGCTTCACTCATGAGAACAGTGTTTTTGGATCTTTTGGGGAGATGTGTGTGTTGAAAGAGGTTGCCGTTGCAGCACGTTCTACGAGGACGAGTAAAAATCCCAAAATGGCTCAAAAAGTTGTCCCGTCCAGATGTGCATTGCATATTGTACATATCGTCTTGGCTGTAGCCATACCAGTGGTGGTGGTGATGTAAGAGGTGGCTGCCACCATAGCCAGCCAGCAGTCCAGCTCCGGCGGCTAGTGCAATGGGAAGACCGCTACTGCTTGAGTAGGCACTGGCTCCTGAATAGCCATATGGAGTGGCCATCGGCATGTGGCCTCCAAACATCTGAGATGCATAGCTAGAGCTGGGATAGCCATAAGGACCCAGGTAGGAAGTGTACGGATTGTGGTACGAACCTCCATATCCTGCCTGTGAGTATGAACGGCGTCGATGAAAACTTGAACTGGTGCCATATGGACTTGTCACTGACGCATAGGGGCTAGGGGCAGGCGAATAAGAGCCTCTCCGACGAGAAGCACCTGCAGCGCCAGCTGTCGCACCAGCTACAGCCCCTGCTGTACCATAACCTGCTGCTGCTGCTGCGGCTCGTCTTCTCCGAGGAGTAAACCATGACATGGGATTGATGTTCACTGGCTTGATCCCAGTCCCTCGTCTTCTCACACTGCTCGCTGTGCGCCGTCTCATTGAAAAAAGCTGTCGGCTCTGGCAGTCCTCATCGCAGAACTCTGTGGAGTGATCCGCGGGGCCATCCGTTGAGCGGTTGGCGGAGTCAGCGTTTGGCACAGCGCTTGGCACCTCTTCCGCCAATCGACGCGCACGGCGTGCATGGCCTTGCAAAGACACACCCTGCCTTTGATCAGCAATGATGCCTCTGGCATCTCTAGCAATGAAATTTAGCTGCACTGGATTCTTTGCAGTGCGGAAAATGGTCAGAATGTGTGGTTCATACTCCGCCGTCGTTGGCTTTGACATTGTTATGGTGGCATAGCCTGCAAACAAATCCAAGCTGCCTTCCGAGATTTCATGCGACCATGAAACTCATGTTGCACCCGAGCCTGGACCACCTGGGCAAATCACAGAGAGAACATCCACCAAGTGCCAGACTCCAAAGCCTGGACTTTGTGCCCAGGAGGTGCCTCGAGAAAAGTCCGTGGCTAGTGGCTGATGCATCAGTTTTCGCATGCAATGATATGCTGATATGCTTGAAGTATTTGGAAGTTATCTTCTTCCCTAAATGCTGAGGGCAGTGCCTAGAAAGCAAAGCCACCAAAGTTGAGCCATGGAGCTGAGCATCCCCACTTGAGCTGCAGCTGACGATCCGACATTTTCCACGCAGAGTTCAGAAATTCAATAGGTGTCATGCCGACTTACGGACTTCGGGAATTTCATTGACCCTAAGTAAACCCAGGGACGGTGACGTTGCACATCCTATTTTTTGATTTGTCCATATAGCTTGTTTCAAAGGAGGTTGGATCCGCAATCTGAGAATTCGATTTAGATCATTTTAGCCATGGCACAGCGATGGTAGAATTCATCACTGAAGTCTGAAGTCTATAAACTTGTGTGACCTGGACAAACCCAGCCACACCAAATTGACTTGTCAACCTTCTCGATCTACACAAAATCGATCAAATGGTTGTCCCTAGCAGACATAGGCCGGCCAAGCCCGGCACACCAGCGAGAACCAAAGGCCAAGCTCTACAAAGTCCTTGGAGCCCCGCCCCAAGGCTACACTATGCCCATCTTGCACTGTACAATTTGGGCATCAAAAGGCATCCACGCAAGGTCGTTCACACCCTCCGGTTGATCAGGGGCAGCGGCTGTCCATATTGGATGGCTTGCTGGCAGGCTTGTTCAAGTCTCCTAGGCAATCACAGTATTCAATGTCAAGTAGGGTGATCGGAGGGAAACCCGGAAAATATGGCCATGACTTCAGGAACCGGAATTTCCACTTCTCCTAAAGTCGAAAGCCGGGGATTTGGAACAACACTGGTGACGAACACCTCCCCTGACATTAGCTAGCTGTCCTCTGAACTGTGCCTTCCCACTCCCAGCCCCCCGCCCCATCAAATCAACGGCATTCGAAATCTTCAACATTGTTGAAAACGTCCAAGACCGCAGCCGGAAACGCTCTTTTCCCTTGAAACGTTTGAGCCTTGATGAAACATTTCAAAAGGTATCGGTACTGTATGGCATAACTGAATTTGAGCGGCTGGCAAAACTACATCTCCCAAAACGTATGTAGTAGATCGAGGTATATTTTTGGGTTGGCGCATCGCTTTTCCAACCGGTTTGGACATTTTCATAACCAAGGTATCGTTCTCCATATTACTTTCATCATGCACATCATGTGGATCGCATGCCTCAGCGGGACTGGACTGTTGGCGCTTTCTGCGCTTGCGACGCTTTGCAGTTGGGAGTAGCTAAGATTGTTCAGACTCATCGCCGCAAGTAAGAGACAAACAGAAAAGTGGATATGGATTGAATCTCAAAATGATCGGATCTGGGCTCCTGCGTTCCCGGGCATGATTTTGTAGCCTTTTGGGTATCGGTAGGGTATGGTTTAGGGGTATCGTCGTGTCTCCGATATTTTCAGACTGCAACCCTATATACACAAACGGGATAAACATGCCTTGGATATGAACAGCATGTCTAAATTCAGAGAGGGGTATCGTTTTTGGGACGGTGTATCGTTTTTCCAGCTCAAAATCGCTACTGCGGATTTCGTCTCAATATGACGCGCAGCATTCCGCTGGTCACTCACAACCGCCTGACACCCTGCCTTATGCCTAGATATCTGACAACTGCCTAGATATCTGACCACCTGCGAAAAGCATTATATAATTCTTCGGCTGCAGAGGCCTGCTCAACTCGAAACCATCCACAAGTGAATTTCATTGACAGAAGTCATTCCATCAGCCATCAGGCTTTTTGGCCGATCTCTTCACTTCTTCTTACCCTTCGTCTTTCCGTGGCCGTTGCCATCATGAGGTCCACCTGCTCAGCTCCTTGCCTTCATGACCGCTCTTTGCCTTTCATTTCTGTCCTTTGTTTTCTTCTATCTCAACCTCCTATCTTCACTGCGTCACTTGATGGCCTTCTTCATCAAATTTAAAGGCGTCCCCCGTGAAGGGTGACTCTTCCAATGGGCAATTCTGTTCCTCATGCCTTGCCTTTACTTGGAAGACGCCCATCATCCAGATGTAGTTGATGATCCCATCGACCCTTTTGTCTGCACATTGAAGCACGTCGTGAATGTATCGATGCCACCTTGCATTGGCTCATCATTGGGATACAGTATTCCTTCTTGATTTCCCTGAATCCCTGAACGGTTTGATCTTGTCGAGGGCGCGGACATAGATCTCAATGCATCTCCCTTCTGCAACATGCTCGAACCTGTAGTCATCATAGGCTCCAATGATAAAGCTTCAAACTGCTGGACCTTCCCATACTTCCGCGCTCTTTTGGATCCTCTCTCAAAACTTCAATTTTCGATGCTTCATCCTCATCTCTCCTCGGTTCTGGGTCACGAGATCCTCTTGCTCGCTCTCTTTCTGGCGGTCCAGGAGTCGGATCTTCCTTCTCTACTCTCTCCAACCTCACCATTCTGACGCGCGCATGAAGCCGTCCAACCTCACGCAATCAAGCTCTGGCCGGTTTCTTACTTGGCCTTCTTTGCGTCAAACTCCTTTCGTCCTCAAAGATCCATGAGGTATAGAAGCATACATGCTCGCTTCCCTGGGTGAATCTTGGCTCCAAGCTTTGCTGGGTTTGTCAGCGCGTCGGTCGGCCTTCCTCAACTCAAGGTCTTTGTTTGCGCTGTGTCTGTTTGAGCCAAAGACGTCTTCCTGAAAGGCGCTTCATCCGTCCCACTCTTTGTGACTGGGCAATGGCAATTTTAAATGAGTTGTTGCCAAAAGCCACAAGTTTCACCCTCAAGTAGCCCGTCTGACGCACCTGAACCTGATGCAACATTCTCTGGCACTGTGCTTGGCGCTGTAATGTGCTTTTGCGTCCTTGAGCGCGAGCGCGCCAAATTTCTACCAAGGACCAAGGAAAATGCACCCACGCAGCGTAAAGTGTTCACTTCTCTTGCTGCCCGACCAATCCGAATCGCACGCCACTTCAAGCAGCCACCTCATCCTCCTGGTCCTGAAACACTGGCGCCCAAATCAACCCCCGCGCTCGGCCCCTTGAGCTTGACGGACTCCGACTCCTCATCACCAAACGAACGTCCGGCGTCAAGGCTTCTGTTGCAGCCTGAAGATGTCCTGCAAGCGCTTTCGCCATTGAATATCTAGTTTGCCGCCCGCTGCTTCTGTAGACGCTGATTCTTTCATCTCCTTCATCGACCTTCGATGTACTTGTTGTGGATGGTAACCTCAGTCTGGCTGGGTTTCATTGCGGTCATATTTACAAAAGTTCAGTGAACAACCCTCTTCAACCGAGACTTTGTAAAGCTTCATGAGGTGACTGACTGGCTGCGCTAACGCCCTACCTTCTTCTGCCAAAATCATGTCATCTACGTGCGCCAACAAGGTCCCTCTCCAAAGCGTTTGGCGCGGACATGGTTCCAAACTTTTCAACGTCCACTAGAACCATTGCGCTGCCCCCCGTCGTTGACCAGGAAGAACTCGAAGGTCACGAACTGCTTCTCAATGATCTCTTTCGCCGAAGACAAACTAGTCCTCCTCATCATCATCATCATCATCACTCTAAAGTGAAATCATGCGCCTCACTCACCATCCTGATTGCGGCTTCCTGCTCGCCTCCCTCCTCAACATCCAAGAGCACAGTCTCAACCCTCCTCACTGTACTTATTCTCGTCTGGGCGGCGTTCTTTCCATCTGCTGGAGCCGGGTTGCCAACGCCCTTCCAGCGGCGCTTGCACCGTCTGACTGGCTCCTGAGTTTCCCCTGAAAGACTGAATCTGAAACAGGTTGAAAGTTATCCAATGAATGGGTCCGGCTGAGCCACCTGACGTCGCACTAGTGGTGTCAGCCACTTGAGGCCAGGTGCGCGCAGCGCACTCCCTGCTCCAGGGGCTACGTCCTCCACAAAGTTTGCAGGCTGGCCCATTCCCTTTTCTTTTCCTTTGCCATCTTGAAAGCCCCCTAAGGACCTTTGTCCGCTTTGCAACATTTACCGCTTCCTTTGCCCTTTTCATAAGCAAAGTTGCCGTTGCTGCCATAGCCTTTGCCTTTGCCGTTGCCTTGGCCATCTTTTCCTTTACTCTTGCCCTTTGCTTTGCCTTTGTCCTTGCCTGTCACTCGATGATCGGCCCATTGGAACCACATCGTCTGTCGCCTCGTCCATGTCGATCTTGATCTCGTTTGCCAATGCCGAATTCTGCGTAAGCTGCTTGTGAAGTCTATGATGCAGTTGTTCGCTCACATGACAGCAGCTCCAGCATAAGTTGCGCCACCGTCGCACATGCCATGCTATCGCCGCACGCGCCGTCGAAAGCTTCTGAGGCATCACTCAAGGAAACCGGGTGTTTTGCGGAACCTTCTCACCTAACACTGCATGGCATTCCTCGGCCCACAGCTGCTCAAGGAGTCAAAAGCCTTTGTCCCTACTGAATGCAGGATGTGCCAGGTATGGTTGAAGGCGTGGCTGCTGATCTCGTCTTTGGCATCAATTGTCGTGACAACTGCCTCCATGCTTCCAACAACCGCCTGTTTCGAAGCACACCGATGGCAGCCAAGATGTTATACAGGTGCTGTGATCTACTTGAGAGGAGGGAGACACGAAAGGTAGGACAGCGGGAAGAGAAGAGAACGCGAGAGGCAGGAACAAAAATGCAATGTTCGACATGGTGATTTATCCCCTCGGAGGCGACCTTTCGTAAATATATGTTCATATGCACTCTAAATGTTCAAACATATGCTCTCGAAATGTTCAAAAAGATTCTTAGGAAAACAAACTTGCCCCATGGCTCAGATCATCGGTGAGCATTGAATCGGAACATCATAGGATTTGAACTATCCTGAAACCATAAAGGGCTCAGAATTGACGTGCTTCACAAAACAAACTCTAGGTATGTATCCCCTCGGGGAACACCTTTCGTGATTTGAATTTCATATTCACTCTTTCTGAATGTTCAAGAGGGTTTCAACTATCCTGAAATCATGAGAGGCTCACGAAGACGTTCTCCAGGAGAGAATTGATTTTAGAGGGGGGGAGGGGGGGGGGGTCTGAATTGAGCGATCAATTATTAGACCCGGACGTCCCAACACTTGCTTCGCAAGACAAACTCAAGGTATCCCCTAAAGGGCTACCTTTCGTGATCATGACGTTCCTCGGTCATCT